CCTTTAGGGAGGACAGTCCTCCTTTTTTAAGTTCTGTCCTCCCTCAAAAAGTGTCCTCTTACATGTCCTCCTTTTCGATATTTGAAGACTAATCCACAGGGCTTTTTTTTTTCCCTCATAGAACGCTCAGAACAGTGTTCCAGCACCTTTTTTTGATGGTTTTTTTTTCAACTTCTGCATGAGCTGTTCTACTCCCACTATTGGCTTTCGAAAGCCAATAGGAATTGCTGCTGAGCGCGCCAAAACACCTGGCTGGCAAACTTTGCACATGCAAGTTGTCTGTATTATTGTTGCAATGAATAAAATGTTTCTTTTATTTACAATAGTTTTTTTCTTCAATTTATTTGTGTCCCCCTTTTCATTGTAAAAAAGTTGGTCATCTTATAATAGCAATAGACTTTATATACTGCTTCACAGTGCTTTATAGCCCTCTCTAAGCAGTTTACAGAGTCAGCAATTTGCCCCCAACAATCTGGGTCCTCATTTTACCAACTTTGGAAGGATGGAAGGCTGAGTCTACCTTGAGAATCGAACTGCCAAACTGCTGGCAGCCGGCAGTCAGCAGAAGCAGCCTACAGTGCTGCATTTTAACCACTGCACCACCACGGCTTCATTGTTGAAGCAGCTTTAGAGCAGTGATTCTCAACCTTTCTAATGCTGTGACCCCATAATACAATTCTCCATGTTGTGGTGACCCCCAAGTGGGTGTGGCCACCAATAAGAGGGAGTAGGACAGCTAGGGAAAAGGGAAAAAAATGGCGGACTGCGTTGTTTGGCGACCCCCGTGAAATGGTCATTCGACCCCAAATGGGGTCCTGACCCACAGGTTGAGAACCACTGCTTTAGAGAATGCTCTTCCTCAACCTCTGCAGCCTCTGAAAACTGCTGGAAAGCAGGCTCTGTTCTTGCATGGTTTTGGGGGGCACTGGAGGCCGTGCAAGAGTGTGGCTCTTTTGTGTGACTTTCTGGAGAGTCTGGGGGCTGTATCAGAGCCCATCCCATTCTCATGCAAAATTGGGGCATGCTTTTGAGAATAGTTATTGGGTGTTCGTGAATGCTGCCATGTCACCAAAACAACATGGTGTGTTACCTTTGACGCATATCATACATTTGCCATCACTGATTTAGAACAAGGCTTTTCAACCTTTTCACCCATTGTACCACTTCTAGGATATGGCAATATCTGAGTACCACCAGTCGCCTAGCAAAGTGTCAAAAACTTGATGACCAAAAAAAAAAAAAAAAGGGAAAAAAGTGATGAAGTACAGGTAGTCCTTGACTTACAACAGTTTGCTTAGTGATTGTTCGAAGTTACAATGGGCACTGAAAAAAATGCCCCCCCAAGGCACAGCTGAGCAAGACATCTGCTTGCCCACCTGGCGGCACTCTTCTTCCTGTCCAAGGTTTTCATTGTTGTGAGCATTTCTGTTGAGGATTGGCAGCAGGGTGGGGGGGGGGTGTTTGGTTTTTATTCCCCCTGTCTGCTGGGTGGTTGCAGCAGGTTTTGGTCACTTCACATGACTCTGGGACACTGTGACCGTCATAAATATGAATCAGTTGCCAAGCATCTGAATGTAAATCACAAGACCCTGGAGATGCGGCAACATTCCAGCTGATCTGCGCTTCTTTAGGGCTCAGCAGAAGCACCAGGATCAGCGCCGAGCTTCAGCTGGAGCCTGGCACTGCTCCTGGCATTTCCGCTCAGCCCTCACAGCCCTGCAGCTCCAGCCATCTCTTGCTCAGGCTTGTGCAGTGCTGCCACCAGTTCAGCTCATTCCCCTCCCCCGCTACCAGTTGTCTAGGATGGTTGCGTACCACCTGCCAGGTGCCAATGTACTTGGAAGGTTGTTTCCTTCCAAGCTTTACTTTCCAACATCTGGCTCCTGATATGAACATCTGCCTCTGCCTGCTTTAGGGCCAGTTTTGCAAGAAAGGGAAAGTGCCGCAAGCTGGTCCCAGTGGGGGGAAAAATATTGACCTGCTTGAACTCCTAGCTTGGATCTGGTTTTGAAGAAAGAGTAAGAAACTCAATGCTACACTTGGTGACGGATGCCTTAAGCCTACCCATTTACTGCTACAGCTAGGCTTGTGAAATAGTTTGATGAGTTTCATGGAAGTTGGAATTTGAGATAAGCCAGTATTTATGCATGTGGATAATTTTGGTAGGCTAACCCAGGTAATATGCAAGGAGATGGTGTGTAAGACAAGCTAATAACTTTATGGCTATTTTTGCAACACTGGGCTCCTTTCTTCTTGACCTAAACCAGGGGTAGGCAAACCTTGGCTCTTTTATGATTTGTGGACTTCACATATATATAAAAATTTCATTCAGGGCTTAAGTGAGCTGGGTGGGTTTATGCTAACATGGTGGTGAGGGAATCAGTAGCCAAATTGCTTTGTCCAAACACATGGATCTTTTACCTCATGCTTTGTAAACAACAATCCCTTGTCAAACTTTTCTGGAGACTTTGCCAAAACTGAAAAGACGGATGAAGATAATAAAATCTCTAAACTGAGCTTATTACAATGCCCGTGGGCAAAGGAAGAACAAACAGTGAAGAACAGGGTGCAATGTTATAAATTCTCACTATCCCTTTGCAAACATCCTTTCTATTTTCCAGCAAGCCTGAGCCTCTCCATGTCTTCCTTTGAAATCTGGGTGAGTTTAGACCATTTCTTTGCTCTCTCTACCTTTGTGGAAATAGGAAAAGAGATTTATTTAATAATAATAATAATAATAATAATAATAATAATAATAATAATAATAATAATAATAAAGCAAGGGTAGTACCAATAGTAATAGGCTCCTTGGGTGCAATCCCAAAACAACTGGAGCACCACTTGAACACCATTGGCATTGACAAATTCGCTATTAGTCAATTGCAAAAGGCGGCCTTACTAGGAACTGCTTCCATCCTGCGACGATATCTGTAATACCATCCAACATCCACATCTGCCTATCCCAGGTCCTGGGTAAGGACTCGATAGGTAGACAAAATGCCAAATCCAGTCTGAACATCTGGCTGACTGTGCAATTATCAATAATAATAATAATAATAATAGTAATAATAGTAATAATAGTAATAATAATAATAATACTAATAAAGTTGGAAGGGACCTTGGAGGTCATCTTCTAGTCCAACCCCCTGCTCAGGCAGGAAGCCCTATACCATTTCAGACAAATGGCTGTCCAGTCTCTTCTTAAAAACTTCTAACTGTCAGGAAGTTTCTCCTTAGTTCCAGGTTGCTTCTCTCCTTGATTAGTTTCCATCCGTAGCTTCTTGTCCTGCCTTCAAGGGCTTTGGAGAATAGCTTGGCTCCCTTTTCTTTGTGGCAGCCCCTGAGATATTGGAACACTGCTATCATAAATAAATACATTTATTTATTTATCGTATGGCACATTCACATCACTTTTTGATAAAAATGCAAGAGATAAAAATACAAAACATAAAATATAAACCTATGAACTAGATTACAGATATAATTTTTTGTTTCATTTGTCACAGCCAGGAAATCAGCAAAGTCTCCCTAATAGAAAGGAGAGTTATGCATGATACCTTGAGTAATTTAAAATAACAGCAGGATATAAAGCTAATAGATGAGCATTACTTATTTAATTCAAATAGAATAGAATAGAATTCTTTATTGGCCATATGATTGGACACACAAGGAATTTGTCTCTGATGTGTAAGCTTATTATTAATTATCATACTAATTATAATTAATATTATATTAACTAATTAATATTAAATATGTAATAATTATATGAATTATATTAACATCTATTATAGGCTACATTGCTGGACAACAGTGAGGTAGATTAAATATATAAAAAATAACTATATAAATAACGTTTTAGCCTCCCTGCTCTCACTCCAAAAAGCGGAAAGAGAAAGTTGGAAGTATTAAAAACAAACAAACAAACAAACAAAAAAAACAGTTCAAGGGATCCAGAATGCTACACAAGGTAGAAATGATCTATTCAGAAAGGCCAGAGAAGAGAAAAACAGACTGAGTTTTGCAATTTTCCATGAGTGCACAATAGACCCTGGGAATTGAACAAACTGGTGTGTGTGGGATAAACATCCCCATGTTTGCTTAGGCCAAAGCATCTTTGTAGAACTTGTGTGTTTTGCAATAATAGCACTGTAATGAAAATGATAATACAGTGATGAAGATGATGATTTAATCGGTACACTCTTCAACTCCCAGCCAATGTTCAAAGCTCTGTCTACCTTACAAAGGATCATTCAGAATAGATAGGTTGAAGGAGAGTAACAGATTTGATAGATTAAAGGAGGAGCTGATACTTTAGTTCATTCACTGACCGGCTACAGTCTTCGGTTTAACTGGTGCTGTTGCACCCCCGTGAGGTAGAAAATATCCATGCAATGCATTTAATTCAAACATTTCTTGAGCTGGCAAATAACAAGAGCAGGTCTAAAAAGCAGAGCCCTCAAAGGAGAAGGGTCAATCCTTGGAGGCAGTAAGCAAAGAAGCACAAGGAGGAGGAGAGAAGTACAGGGCTGAGGGCTGAACAGTAGAGTCAGATGGTCCAAGATTGTGAACTAATACAATCTCATATGAATTTAACAGATAATAACAAAATAACAGAGTTGGAAGGGACCTTGGAGGTCTTCTAGTCCAACTCTCTGCTCAAGCAAGAAACCCTATACTTTTCCAGACAAGTGACTGTCCAGTCTCGTCCTAAAAGTACCCTGCTCTTCAAGTGCAAGGCTTCTAGATCTTTATTTCCAAAGCTCCTTCTTGGAATCAGTGGTTGCTCAACCATCATTGACTGGCCAGGAGAATTACCTGGGAGAAAGCATTTGCTCTTGAATGATTATTTCTAAGCTTTTGCCCATAGCTAAATATTTTACCTTTTTAACATTGTCACATCTTTCCATGCTTTCAAAAGAACACATTTGCGAGGAATAGATGGGAGCAAATTTCTTTCCCCTTCTTCCTCTCTTGCTCTCATGTGTCTCTTCTCCCCACAGGTGGAAACCTTCCAGCATGACTTCCAACTCTGAAAACCGGAACACCTACATTACAGTTTACATGCTCACTGTCCTAATTGGCTTCCCCACCAACCTGTTGGCCCTCTATGCTTTCATCCAGAAGATTAGAGTCAAGGCCACACCCAACTGCATCCTTCTCCTCAATCTGACCATTTCTGATCTCTGCTTCCTGGTTTTCCTCCTCTTCAAGCTTGCAGAGCAGATTGCTGGCCGCTGGGCCTTCCCCACTTTTCTGTGTCCCTTTAGTGGTCTTGTCTACTTCAGCACCATCTATTCTAGCACGCTCTTCCTCACTGCGGTAAGCGTGGAGCGCTATCTGGGGGTAGCGTACCCCATCCATTACAAGCTGAGGCGTCATACAGCCTATGCCCTCATTGCCAGCCTGAGCCTTTGGATCTGCTCTTTTGGCCACTGCAGCATTGTGTATGTCACTGAGTTGAAACGGGAAAACTATTCCCTACCAAGTGTGCCCTCCAGTAATGTCTGTTACGACAATTTCACAGAGAAGCAACTCCAGCTCCTGCTCCCTGTTCGCCTGGAGCTCAGCATTGTACTTTTCCTAGTGCCATCCCTGATCACCTGCTTCTGCTATTTTGGCTTTATAAGAATCGTGATCTCTTCACCACACATCTGCAGGAGCAAAAAGCAACGATCTGTGGGGCTGGTAGCAGCCACTTTAACTATCTTCATTGTCTGTTTTACACCCTACAACATCTCCCATGTGGTGGGTTTTGTTGAGTGGAAAAGTCCCGACTGGAGGATCAACGTCTTGCTTCTCAGCACCTTCAATGCCTGCTTGGACCCCATCATCTTTTATTTTTCTTCTTCCGCTGTGCAGCGTTCATGCCGTAGCTTTTGGACCAGAATAAAACAGATTTGCACGTTGCCTCCTTTGCTCCATAAGCTCTTCAATAGAAGGATTGAGAGGACAGGTCCTCAGGAGCAGGTGTGCTCTTCCCGGCTATGACCTCCCGTTTCTTGGAAGATTGTCTTTGTAGGTCAAGTGGGCTGGCAAAAACAGTTCTGGGAATTTACTGACATTTCCAGCCAGGCCTCCAGACTTGAAGCTTTCACGTTGTGAATGTTGTTAATTGTAATTTTGGCAGCTTTGAGTTGGAGAATCTTAGCCAGATTTCTCATCTCTTCGTTCTTGAAACTTAGAAATAATATTGCACAACTGCTGCCCTCATAGACTGATTGAAAATGGGTTTCATTAAAGCAAACAAAGAAAATGGTGAAATATGTTGAGAACTTCAAATGTACAGTATATACTCAGGTACTCCAGGCCTAATTGCGAAATGAATTTTGGAGTTGTTCCATTCTATATTTGAGTCTTAATGGTATCCAAGAGATTTTCCATCTTCATCTAACTGGAGATACACATAATTTGCAAAAGAGCTTTTATTTCAGCTATGATATTGTTGCGATTCTCATGGCAATAGACAATGAATTGAGAATCTTGGGAAATGCAGAACCTGATGCCTGGATAGCACTACACAAGACAATAGCATCATCTAGGAACTAGGGAAGGTCCTTATATGAGATATCCTTGTTGTTACATCTGGTAGATAATTAAAAAAAAAAAAACCACAAGAGGGCATATGTAGCAAGGACATGAGAGGAAAAGAACAGTTTTGAAATAAGCAGTTGAAATAGGTCTATCTCACGAGACTTATGTATAAATAGGGTGTTGAATTATTTGCTTTCATATTAACAGAGTTAATTTTTCTTTTAAAAAATCTGCATCAGAATAAGTAATATATTTTGGGGATTATTTAACAAACTCTCCGAAGTCTTTTTGCTCTTTGAATGATCTCGCCTGGTTTATCACTGGAAAAAACACAAGAAAGATTATACATTCAATAATATAAGGTTTACTAGAAATAAATGGGCTTACATGTTCTGTGAAATCCCAGAAAGAGAAGCTACCCAGGAGTTCCGTGCCATTTAGTAGGAGAAGGATTTGTGCCATTGATTTGGATTCCCAACCATAGAGCACATTTTGTATTAGAAGAAAGAAATTCTGTTTGCCCCAGTGAAAGCGTTTCTTGGTGAAAATTCCCAAGGATAGGGAATGCAGCTTTAATCAACAATGGGGTGGGGGAAGACATGACACCAGGGTTCCAGTATGTCAGGGGCTGCCACAAGGAAGAGGGAGTCAAGCTATTCTCCAAAGCACCTGAAGGCAGGACAAGAGGCAATGGATGGAAACTAATCAAGGAGAGAAGCAACATAGAACTAAGGGGAAACTTCCTGACAGTTAGAACAATTAACCAGTGGAACAACCTGCCTCCAGAAGTTGTAAATGCTCCAATACTGGAAGTTTTTAAGAAGAGACTAGATAGCCATTTGTCTGAAATGGTATAGGGTTTCCTGCCTGAGCAAGGGTTGGATTACATCAGGGGTCCCCAATCCCCGGTCCATGGACTGGCACTGGGCCGTAGCATACCAGCAACTGGTCTGGCAACCAAGTTAAGCCCCATCCACTGAATGCAGGCAGCACACGAAACCATGCCCCCTCTGGTCCGCAGAAAAATCTTTCTCCATAGAACCGGTCCTTGTGCCCAAAAGGTTGGGGGCCTCTGGACTAAATGATTTCCAAGGTCCCTTCCATCATCATCATCATCATCATCATCATCATCATCATCATCATTATTATTATTATTATTATTATTATTATTATTATTATTATTATTATTATTATTATGGTACTTCCCCCATCTTTTTTAAGGACCCCATATTCAGCCTCCCAAGTCATTTGAACAATAACTAATTATACAAATAGTGTTACATCTACTTAACCAGTCCATAGAGCTGTTTCTCAACCTTAGCAATTTTAAGATGTGTGGATTTCAACTCCCACAATTCCCTTGGGAATTACTCCCTGGGAATTCTGGTACAATACTGGTATAAAAGGAGGGTGTATCTTAACTTGAGTTCTTTTCCCATTAAATGCACACTTTTAGCTATATCACACCAAGACGTTGTACAATGTGGTTTGAAGCACAGCTGATAAATGTTTTCCCCATACGATGACACAAAGAACGATGACCTGTTTGGTTTTTCAAACCTTGTAAGGTGTAGGCTATGCTAAGCAAAAAAAGCAAAGTCCCAGAAATGCTTTTCACCTATGTCTCCAAGGATTTCCCTATTTGCAGAAAGTGCAAAACATCTAAGGGCTCAAGTAGACTTTGCATTAATTTCCCGAAGTGCATAGCTACGGAGATTCTCAGTCATCCAGGTCATAGTTATCCCAAAGATCCTTTTTCATGAGGCAACTAGACTTTGTTTTTCTCTTAAAATATTTCACTTCTCATCCAAGAAGCTTCTTCAGCTCTGACTGGATGGCGGGGAATGGAAAGATTTATACTCCTTGCAGACAGCTGGTCATTAGATAAACCTCCAGGTGGCCTCAATGACTCTCTAAAAGAATGCAAATGACCAACTGTCTGTAAGGAGTATAAATCTTTCTATTCCCCACCATCCAGTCAGAGCTGAAGAAGCGTCTTGGATGAGAAGTGAAACATCTTCAAAGAAAAACAAGAAAGTCCAGTTGCCTCGTGAAAAAGCACCTTTGGGATTAATTTCCTGGCAGAAAGCATATCATAAATGGGAGCCTTTGAGATAAATGAGAGTGAGCTAACTCTTGCGGCTGGATTAAAAGCTCAATTTTTATTGGGCTCCAATTGTATTTTTGTTTTTCCTCCATGGATTAACCCTCTCTGGGACACCAACAAGGCAAAACCGAACAGAAGAAAAAACTGGATGCTCTTGGATGCTCTTGTTCTCCAGCCAGAACCACCACATACTTTGAAAAGTGATTGGTGGTGATCCTTCCCTGCTAGAGGATGTTGCTGCAGGAAGGAGAATTGGGATCCTGGATTTGCATTAAATCTCTGAGGCAGAGGTTTTCAAACTTGGCAACTTTAAGACTTGTGGACTTCAACACCCAGAATTCCTCAGCCAGCCAAGTTGCCAAGTTTGAAGACCCCTCATCTAAGGACAACAAACTTGCTGCCAGAGGCAGTGCTAAAGTGCAATAAAAGTCTGCTGTGGGATTAATAAAATTTATATGCCGCCCAATCCCTAGGGACTCAGGGCAGCGTACAAAATTAAAACAATAAATATAACAATAAAACAGTAAAATAAGTGCATTCATACAGCATGTCCCAATCGTATCCCCCCTCCGGGGACATCAACCCCAGGCCTGCCGGAACAGGAGAGTTTTAATGGCTTTCTTAAAGGCCGGCAAGGTGGGAGTAGTTTGAATCTCCGGGGGAAGTTGATTCCACCAAGTCGGAGCCACCACAGAAAAGGCCCTTCCCCGAGGGCCCGCCAGCCGACATTGTCTGGCCAATGGGACCTGAAGGAGGCCCAATCTGTGGGACCTCACCGGTTGCGGGAAAGACCCCTCCATCAAGGAGGCGTTGATTATCGCCTGGAGCCAGCCTTGTGTCACTTCCCTACTGGCAGAAACCAGCCAGGAGGGGCACGGGTCCAATAAGCAGGTGGTGGCATTCATTGCCCTCATGGCTTTGTCCACTTCATCAGGGGTCACAGGCTTAAACTCGCTCCAGATAACATGACTAAGACCAGCCCCCGGCATCTCGGCTGGCACTGCCCAGTCGGAGTCCAGGTCTCTCTGAATCTGAGCAATTTTGTCCGAGAGAAACTGAACAAACTCCTCAGCTCTCCCCTGCAAGGGTTCCTTCGCCTCCTCCACTTTAAGAAGGGAGCGGGTCACCCTAAACAAGGCGGCCGGGCGAGATTCTGCGGACGCAATAAGTGCGGAAAAGTGAACACGCTTTGCCGCCCTTATCGCCACTAAATAAATCCTAAGATAGGCTCTTAATAGTGATCGGTCAGATTCAGAGTTACTGGCCCTCCAATGTCGCTCTAGACGTCTCTTGTGGTGCTTCATCTCCTAAATGTGTTTCCAACTTCCCTCTCCTTATCTTCATGAGAGCTGGGAAGGGTCATGTTAGTTTTTCAATATCTAAAGATATTGCCACAAAGAAGAGGGAGTCAACTTATTCTCCAAAGCACCTGGAAGCAGGACGAGAAGCAACGGATGAAAACTAATCAAGGAGAGAAGCAGTGCTTTTTTTCTTAAAAAAAAAAAAAGGTGACGGAACTCACACACGTCATACAATCCGCCTTGCCTACCCTACAAGGTTCCATCCAAAAAAGGTGCCGGAACTCTGTTCTGGACGTTCTATGACAAAAAAAAGCCCTGGAGAGAAGTAATCTAGAACTAAGGAGAATTTTCCTGACAGTTAATCAGTAGAACAACTTGCCTCCAGAAGCTGTGAATGCCCCAACACTGGAAGTTTTTAAGAGACTGGACAGCCATTTGTCTGAAATGGTTTCCTGCCTGAGCAGGGGGTTGGACTGGAAGACCCTTCCCATTCTGTTATTCTGTATTCTGAGATGTTTTCTCCAAATTACATTTCTCTGATTTCTTTTGTCTGACTGTCGCCTTGGTTGTGGGCTCTTCCTCTGGTTCCTCAAAGTTATTTCTATTGCCCATTACAGAAGTATCCAGCCAGCTGTGGATACTCTGTTAATAATGGTCCGTCAGATACTTGGCTTTTGGTGCTAGGAAAGATGTGATCAACAGTCTTGGAGATCCATATTATTAGTAGCCTGGAGGGAGTCAACTTTTCCTGATGACACCAAAGAACTTTCTAAGGGATAAGAAATTATATTGGAATGGGAATAACAGCCTTTCTTCCTTTCTTTTTTTAAAAACCGAACATATTGTCTGCACAACAACGTATTGAGATGGGCTGAAGGAAAAGCGTGAGAGATGCTGAGCATCTGATTCCCCTCTTTTTCTTCCCTTTGTCTTAAAATGGGTAGAAGTGGTTAAAAAGGGAAAGCAAAATGAGGCCTAGTGTAGAGATTCACAATCTTTACTTTTCTGTGCCTCTCGCTTCTCATACATTGTACATAAAAAACGCAATTTGCTGACTGGGAGCTCCAGGGAAGACTAAGGAAATATAATTATCTTATGTTTGTGAAGCACTTGTTGCTGTAAGATGAGATTGTAATGCAATAAAAGCTATTCAATTCTCTCCTGCACGTTAAAAAAAAAAAACATTAGCACTCCAGGGGGAAGCTAACCCTATACAAATACAGCTACACCATGGGCAAATAGAAAAAGCTACCCATAAGAATTAGATTAAGTGTATTAGTTAAAGTAATAGTAATAGTAATAGTAGTAAAGTTGGAAGGGATCTTGGAGGTCATCTAGTCCAACCGCCTGCTCAGGCAGGAAACCCTACACCATTTCGGACAAATGGCTGTCCAGTCTCTTCTTAAAAACTTCCAGTGTTCAACCTGAAGTGTTTAAGTGCTCAACCTGAAATCTAATTCCAGGTTTAAGCTTACCTTCAACCATGAAAACTTGCTGGAAGGGATTGGGATGGTGATACTCGCAACACAACCTATTTAAAGAAGTTGTTGTGATTAGATATAGAATGAGAGGAATTTGAAACGTGTGCTGCATTGAGCTCTTATGGAAAAAGAAGAATAACAATGCAATACGCAAGTCATCTGTGAAGTTTTTGCTTTGTTGGTCTTGTCCAAGCTGATTTTTATTTAAAATGAATTGAATGCAGACTTTTTTTTAAAAAAAATAGCTTTATCATAGCTTACAATAAAATCATTCCAGTGGTGGCTTACGGGTTTAAACAAATTGCACATTAATTAAGTGAGTAAGCCTGAAGTAAGAAATAAAGAGAAGCTCATATGCTCACCATCAGGTTGAAAAGTTCAAAGACCCTGGTGAATTGACCAACTGACTAACCTTTAATGGCTTCATCCCTATTTAAATGGCTCCTCAGCCCTTCTCACTGGGGAAGAGAGGAACCTGCTAAACAGGAAAGGAGCTGAACTTTGAAATCCTGATCCTTCTCCAAGGGAACTGAAAGAAGAAGCTGATAAAGGTAGCTAAGAAAGTAACCTTTATTCCAGATTCATCCAGTGGACAGCATGAAGCCAAAGTAGACATGGATATCCATCTTTTTGCCACTTTCTTCTCTGATTCCTAGACAGATATATCATGGAGTAAAGAAGGGCTTCTTGGTGTGTGAAAAATAGTCTAGCAGAGAGTCCCCCCAACCTTTCTGCTTTGTGGACCAGCAAGGGGGGAGGGGAAAGGGGATGGTTATGCGAGAGCAGTGGCCACACATGCATGTGTGCACAGCTCCATTTGTGCAAGTGGTGGGCACGCATGCCTGCTGCTCGTGCAAATGGAGCACCCACACCCATGCTTGCTTGTGCAAGTGGGGATGAATGTGTGCTCACCCGCCACTTCTGCAGTGCAGTTCCAAGGGCTCAAGGCCCTGTAGTGGGCCACGGTCTGGGGCTTGGGGACCCTTGGTCTAGCAAGTTGGGAGTAAAGAGTTGCTTTCATTTATTTCATTAACTGATTTACGGGTACAGTGATTTACAACCGCTCATTTAGTGATTGTTCAAAGTTACAAATGCACTGAAAAAAAAAGGGAATTATGACTGGTCCTCACACCTTACAGCAGACATGTCAAACTCGCGATGTCACATGACATTGAAAGACATATTGGAACAGTTTTGCCATTGCCAGCAACGGGGTGGGCACGGCTTCCAGATGATGCGTCCGGCCCATGGGCCAGCAGTTTGACACCCCTGCCTTACTGCATCCGTATGGTCACCTGATCAAAATTTGTTGGAAGCGGACATGCACTTATGACGGTGGCAGCGTCCTGGGGGTGGTGGTCATGTGATCACCGTTTGCAACCTTCCCTGCTGTCTTCCAACAAGCCAGGTCAATGGGGGAAGCTGGATTCACTTAACAACCATAGCAAAAAAGGTCATAACATGGGACATGACTTATCGCTTATCAACTAACTGCCTTGCTTTACCAATGGAAAGTCTGCTCCCAATTTTGGTGGTAAGTAGAGGATTACCTATAATAGCTAGTTGTCACCTAACATGTTTGGAGTGTAAATTTCATCCTTTCCTCCTGCACTTCGCAGATTTTTCTTTCTTTCTTAGGTTTACTTGTCCTTTATACCTAGTTCTGCCTTCGTTGATATCTCCTGATAATTCTTCCGTCACATGCTCTAAAATCTCTTTCTTCCAACCTCTCAGGGTAAGACTTTATTTTAGCTCAAACAGACCATATCTTCTCCTAGTCTTTAACCTCCTCCCTTGTTACATTCAAAAAGGGCGGAGATGCTAATCATTTTATATTTTACATTTGCTAGGATGACAAAGCAATGATATACTCGGTGTGGTCCCTTATGGGACTAGTAACAGAGGACATATTGCTGATCAATTAAGCAAACTGAATGGCAATTGGTATAGAAAAATGTAGCTTCCTTTCCTCAAGGTTTAAATGATCTTTTTAAAAAAAACCCTGCTAAACTGGGATTAAACAGGAGAACACCAGGAAATCCCAGGAAAATATTTGTGAAGGAAGAGGGGAAGGGTAGAAACATTTTGGAAAAAAATGTCTTTTCTTGCCCTTGCTCTTATTATTTTGCCCCTATCGAGTTAAAATCAGAAATTCTCAGAATAAGCCTTTTTTAAAAAAAACTTATAATAACAAGTTGGCATTTGAATGGAATTCCTAGAAATAATATCTGAAATCACTTTGATTGTTTTTTTTTATGAATTAGCCAAATGAAACTGATCACAATTTTGTACAAGCTTGATAGTCATCTTCTAGCCTTCAGCAGATAACAGAATTATTTCTTAACAATCTGGAAAAAGGAGAGAAAAAGAGAAAGATGACATGCTATTACCAACAACATACAGTATGTGCTTACGTCTTACTTGTGTAATGCATTTGTCTGGAAAGTAAGAAAAGGGAGTATATGCAAAATGTGTATACATTAGAATGCATAAACTGGGCCAATTCCATTGCAGAAAAGACCTGAAGAGTCTTCAAACATCCAGGAATGGAAACAAAATAATCGGCCTGAAACTTTTTAAAGCAGCCATTTCTTTTTTCCCAGAATTACGGGGCACCTGCAAAAGACATTCACAAGTTTCCTGGAAAGACATAGCTACTTTAAAGTATGGGACACAGGTGCTATATTTGTATTCCCGAATACTCCAAAGCACCTGTTCAAAATGTACAGCTTTTAAAAAAAACGGAATAATTATCGCAACGTGGACCTCTCGAGAAGAGCTTTACATTCATTCAAATATCCAGAGAAAGATTTGTAGACATCAAGTATGGAAATGAGATTAGCCTGACCACAGACCCCATCAGAAAATGAACATAATATGTGTTAGATGTCAACTAGTTAGAGGAATCCTCAATTCTGGTTGCCAAGTGCCCAAATTTTGAACAGGTGAACAAGTGACCATGGGGGTGTTGCAATAATTATAAGTGTGAGGACCTGTCATCTTTTTTCAGTGCTGTTGCAACCTTGAATGGTCACTAAACAAATGATTAAGTCAAGGACTACTTGTAAAGAGTTCCATCGCTTCATCATTTCAGCAAAGATTTTTACTTTGCATGATCTTCAGATCCAGGTTTAAAACTCACTTTCTGCAATTCTATAATGTAAATTCAATAAAGTTCTTATAGCTTGTCAACTTACCTCTGAGGACCTGCCATTGTTGAATCCATCCTTCATATTGCTCTATTTATAAGCCAATCTTATGTATCATCTCTGTCACATCTTCCCACTTGTAGAATCAGAAGGGATCACAAAGGTATTTTGTTCAACCCTTTGCAAATTACAGGAAAACCAGTTAAGCTATTCATGAGGGCTGAGTTTTTAGTTCCTTTTCAAAACCAGAGATGGAGAAATGATCAACAATTGAATTGGGGTTCATATTCTCATATTGATCTCTTTGGCAATGTTATATCGGTCTCTAAAATTGAAACTTTGATGTTTGGTTGGAATTCTAATTTCTGATTGTATGAAAGTTACATTTGTCTAGCATATAAATGTTGGGAAAAGCATAGCAAATTGCTTGTCAATAATACAGATATCCACATACTCAAAACCAAAAATTCCTCCATCCCCCCCTGCCCCCCCCAGCACTGAGGTAGAAAGAGCATAATCAAATTTAAGGCAGGGAAAAGAAGAAACCGAATGAAACTGAGATGAATTGATGCAGCCTTAATATAAAATATTACAAAATACAATTTCACTCCTTTAAGCAAAGACTTTAGTGAATGATAGCCTGAGGGTAAAATAGGGAGTAGAGAAGAAATACAGAATCAAGAAGGAAGGGGAGAGGTGTGTGTGTGTGTGGTCAGCTATAAGGAGCAAAGTATTTGTGGACCTTGGCCATGGATGGAAAAGAAAGATAGAAAGGGCTTGGTCGTTCTGTGGATGAATCACCTTGGGCTCATAGAAGCAAATTTGCTCATGATAACAGGAACACGATTGTTTAACGAAGTGGCCACTGCCCATGATAACTTCCAGCATAAGTTGAGGCATGAAGTGGCTTTAGTCCTATGCCTATTTCAGAGGGAAAGGAAGACAGAAGGAACACAAAGATGCAAGTCAAAGTTGTAGCTATTTTCCTGGTTATCTGCCTGCTCACCTTGGAAGGCACCAAAGCTAGACCTGGGGTAAGGAGGGATTCGGGTGAAAGAAGGTCATATGGGATCTGTATGTTATCTATATTGACTCCCATTTAAGTGAATCAAGTCTTTGGTACTCTAGCTTCATTGATAGAACATGGAATATTCCAGAACTAGGGTTCCTGCATTTACAACCGACTCCACTGAGTGTTACTGTTTTTAAGAGTTTGTAGCATAAGAGTTATCAGTAATTCGTTCCTTTCCTGGCAGTTTGCAGCAACTAATAGATGGTCATAAAAGGACCACTCATACTTGATGAGACTAAAGCCTACTTCAAGCATTTCAACAGCCAGAGAAGGTGAGCCACAAGGTGGCATTCCCATTGATCCTTCTAGGTTTGTTGATGTATTTGGGAAGGATAGAGAAATAATCAATTACTCTAAGAAGAAGAAGAAAGAAGAAAGAGAAGGATCAAAGTCCTGGAGGGATTTAAGTAGCATATATGCCATGCATTGGGTCCTTCCTTCCTTCCTTCCTTCCTTCCTTCCTTCCTTCCTTCCTTCCTTCCTTCCTTCCTTCCTTCCTTCCTTCCTTCCTTCCTCCCTCCCTCCCTCCCTCCCTCCCTCCCTCCCTCCCTCCCTTGATTTTATATTATGCTTATGAGCTACCTAGAGGTGTGTTTTTAAGATGGATCACCATATAAGCATTTTAAATAAATAGTACCCAGGAAAATTTCTAAGTGTGACGCAAATGATCCTTGTGATGGCTTAGATGTTTGTTTACTTAGTTGTGCCCCCCTTTTCCTGATTAGCTCATTCTCCTTTCTTTAATATTTAAACCCTTTTCATTGGAAATGCCAAGAAATAATGAGTTTCTTTCTTTATGCAAAGCATACACTTAACTTAAGGATGATGACCAAAAATCTCAGAGTTTTAATGAACATTAACCTAATTCACATTTTTGAACATATACCTGGAGCCCAATTACCTTCTGTTCTCCTTTTTCCCAATTTTGCCATTGTAACTTTCCACTGAAATATATAAAAATGAGTACCTGAAATGCACACCTACGTTTGGGGAATTGATTGTGAAAAAGGTAAGTTTATCAGAAGAACTACATTCAGATGCAATTAGGGGAAATATATACTAAAATGTATGTGATATAGAAATGATTCACCAGGCATTCTTCTGGGATTGATTTTAGTTTTCTAGTCTGGCAGTAAAACTCCAAAAATTAATCACACAGGATCTTGCTGAATTCTGCTATTCTTTGTTGTAGTTTGTTCAATTCTCTGATATTCACAAAACGCCAGGGTCTTTTTAGTGTTTTTTCCAATTCTTCAGCAAAAGAAAATAACAGCTCTGTTTATTCTCCTCTACAGAATGTAGGCAGCTTTGACAACAACAATGTAGGATCTGACAGTTTCAATGATAATGGAGTAAGTATAAAATTTAATAATTAACATTTAATAAATAAGTACTCAGAATAATTGTATGCTCGGAGCTAATTTGTCTTCTTTATTCCTCAGTAGGAGATAAAAACTATTTTTAAAAGCTGTATAAAAACTCTTCAATGTACTTTCTTTCTTTCGATTCATCCATAAGCTAAACATATTCCTTTTTTCTCAAAGATACCAGGTAAAAAGTCATTTGTCAATGACTGAAGAAGTGTATTTGCAGGGCATGCTTAACCAAGTTGTTGGGGGGGGGGGAATGATATATATGTCATGTAAATAATAAGACAGTATTAATCAACTCAATCAACCACAAAAGGTCTAGATTTTATCCCAAATAGCCAATCTCATTTGTTGTTTATATTTTATTTTAAAAATTACAATATATATTTTCCCATTTGGTTGTGTTTCTGTAACTTTATTCAAGGAACAAAGCAATAGTAGCTTTTTAAGATTAGGGGGATATTGGGACAAATGCTTATGGTCATAAGACTGAACCTTTAGGATGCTCTTAATTTCAATTTGTGTTGCTTTCATTTTGTGTTTCAGAACAGCTATAATTCTGGACCTTCTGGAGGGGTATGTATTAACAAATGTATAGATGCCAGTTTTGAGCAGGACTCAACATTCAGCCCTAAAATTCCAAAAAAAGTAAACATTTTGAGACTATAGGAGATGACATGTTCATTTCTCCTGAGTGAAATTTTCTTTGGAGGGAAGATTGTAGGAGAGGACAAGATGGAATTCGAAGCTGCAAGATGCTACAAGATGCTCACTAAAGTCCACATTTTTCTTGGCATCTCAACTGCCTACTCTTTAGAGGGCAAGGAGGGCAGAGTTAGCATCTAAAATGAGTTGTGCTGGCTATCTATATTTTGGCAGTTCTCAAAGGTATTATGGAATAGCCCTATTCCTCTTTGCTACTCAATGTTGAAATGTATATGTAAATAAAAGGATGTTCCTCAAAGTCAGCCTACAGCTGACCACAAAACACTAACATATGCTCTTGTGCTCTATTTTCAGAATGCCGGAAGCTTTGATAACAATAAAGTTGGCGACCATAGCTTCAATGACAATGGCGTAAGTGATGGAGAATGTGTTTTGTCTTCTTAGAGAGAAGGGAGGATCCAACCTGTCAAAGACTACCAAAACAGGTCTTGTAATTTGAATGGAAAGAAGGTTTATTTATAGGAAGGGGGAAGAAAATCTTAGTATCTGAAGCTACATCCTAGCAAGGAGATTTAAGAAGCCATGCCTATGTGTGTTTGCTTAGGAGACAAGAGCAGGAAGGAAGAGACTAGGTTAAAGATAAACAGGGGATCCAGACAAGGTCTGAGTCTCTATTTCTATCTTTCTCAACCTTTGTAATTTTAAATGTATATATTTCAGTTCTTCAAACTCCCCCTTCAGCATGGCTTGCTGGAGAATTCTGGAAGTCTGCATGTCTTAAAGTTGCTAAGATTGAGAAACATTGGTCTCTCTATATCCTGCTCTTCCTTGTAGTCAGTAGTGTGAATGGTTAAGAGGTACTGTTCTGATGTCCCAGTGGATATCTGAGATCTGCAAACAATATAATTTTGTCTAGTCCTAGAACAGAATCACCACAGTTCAAAGGCATCCTAAAACTGGACACCTTTGAATTGTGGTGCTGAAGGCAACTATTACACATCCCATGGACTGCAAAAATAACAAATAAAGAAGTCCTAGACCAGTGGTTCTCAACCTTTTTAATGCCGCGACCCCCAACTGGTTGTGAGTCAAGGACTACTCAACCGGTCGTAAGTCGAGGACTACTCAACTGGTGCAGCACCGTTTGCAGAACGGGACTTTTGGCGGGCTCAGCAGGGCAGAGACAGCCTGGACAATTCCTATTGGCTTTTGAAAGCCAATAGAATTAGACTCTATTCAAGAGAGTCTATTCTATTGGCTTTCAAAAGCCAATAGAATAAAAGGGAGTAGCACAGTTAAGGAAAAGGGGGAAAAAAATGGCGGACTGCGTTGTTTGGCGACCCCCGTGAAATGGTCATTCGACCCCAAATGGGGTCCCGACCCCCAGGTTGAGAACCACTGTCCTAGACAAACCTCACCAAAAATATCACTTGAAGCCAAGATCACTAAACTTTGGTCTTGTTGTGAGAGCTGACTCACATGGAAAGGTCAATCATACTGGGAGTGATCGGCGGAAAAATAAGAAGGGATTGCCCTCGCACCCATTGGTTAGACACTATGAAAGATGACACAGGGATGACCATGGTGGATCTGAAGGAGATGGTGCAAGATGGAGGGGCATGGATAGTACTGACTCATACAGTGGCTGAGGGTCAGACACAACTGAAAGGCTGACAATGACAAGGACAAGAGATTATGAGCCATGTTTTTGAACTTCTAATCTTTCAAAAGCTCAGAATAAATATTTAGAACAACTTCCCAAAGTGGTTTTCTTCCACATATACACTACGCTGTTACTATAATGGCCAGTTATCATGTTGATTAATTATCTGTTTTCAGTCCTGCCTCTCCTGGTGATGTCACTTGGCTAATAATAATAATAATAACAACATCATCACCATCATCAACAAGAACAGTAACAGTAACAATAACAGAGTTGGAGGTTTTTTACACCACAGTGGTCTTTGGATGACTAATACTTTAAAGAAAAGCTTGCCACTGTCCTCTCCATATTAACATCACCATAATTGTTTGGAATTTTATTTTACTATGTCCAAAACATTTTTTTTTCATGCTCCAAATGCACACTAACCACTGTTTCTCCTTCTTTCCCATACCAGGCAGAAAATTATGGCTTGGTTTACGGAGCATATAAAATCTGAATTAAGAAACACTAATTACAATGTTCTCAGGACACACTCTTTCCAAAGAATAAATCGTATTACAGGCAATCATTCCATACCAATGGGACTGGTGGCTCCATTGCTAAGCAATACAGTCATAAATGCAACTTCATGCGATCATGCTGAATTATGTCAGTCATTGCAGCAGTACTGGTTGCCATCATTAAGTGAAGCCTACACTGTCATTAAATGCAACATCATGTGACCACCATTTGTGACCATTTGTTGGCTTTCCCATTGACTTTGCTTGTCAGAAGCCAGCTATGAAGGTCACAGATGGTAACCCATGATTGTGAAATGAGCTGGTTGCCAAGCTCCCAAATTGTGATCACGTGACTATGAGGATGCTACAACAGCCACAGCAATGGGGAATAATTGTAAATTCCCCTTTGTTCAGTGCCTTTGTAACTTTGGATGGTTGCTGACCAAGTTGTTCAATGAGGACTACCTGTATTAGCATGACAGACTCATTTGGACTCAGAATAAGACTATGGATGCCTTTCTCACAGCATACAAAGTTATAGTTCATCTCATTTTGGCCTGGTCTAGCATATTGTGTAAATTCAGAATGAGTTCTTTTATCCTTCTCAAGGGGTCTGTACTGCAGCCTGGATAGAATAGGGTTTTTGAATCAACATGTTAGTGTGGAAACAATGTCCTGATTTTTTTCTTCTTTTCTGCATTTATTTTTGCATGCAGAACAGTGCTAATGGACCCGAAATCTGGGTAAGTTTGCATATAATTCTGAACCTTTCTGTTAAAGACTTAATTCTGTTATGTAGCTTCCTACTGGTAAGATCCCAGTCTCCAACTCTGGACAAAGTCCTTTTCTGCCGCGGGATCAATCATGAATTGGGCAGCTGATTTTGCATAAAATAAAGTCAATTTTGTTATGAAACCAGGGCTGGGGAGCAGCATAACAACTTCCTTGTTGAAAGCGACCAGTTTCTACCTGATTTAAAATTCTACGTCTAGTGGGAAGTTCCCAATCAGATATAGAACCATTTGTCTCCTGCATCAAGAACTTCAAGCTATATACTATGCACAATCACAATGTTCTAAATTTTATCTGGAGGATACTTCAGATGTTACCAAGTGCTTCCTTCTCTATAAATGAGAAATTAATCATAGTGTATAGATCTTATTGATAATGGTAATGAATGCTTATTGAGAGTCTCATGATATTCAAACTCTTAAGGGTGTTTTATTTTCTTCTTTATAGTACTAAAAACCTACCACCATGCCAGATGATCTCCGCCCAGACTTTTCATCAAGGATATCATTGCTGACTCAAATTATTCTTTTTACTTGGTATTGAACGTTTTGCTGGTCCTGACTGTACAGAAGCTTCTTCTTGCAAATAAAGAAACACGACTTAACCAATGTGCCTTGCAGAACAGTTGTGCCTCAGTGTGAATTTATTACCTACTTAACCTATCTACAATCCAATGAATTAAAAGGGCTTTATGGATTAAAGTGGTGCTATGGATTAATCTGAAAGCCAAATCTTTCTTTCCAAAACAATTGGGCAAAAAGCCATCCATCAAAGATTTGGGGAACTCACCAGTCTTAACTGAATTAGAAGCAGAAGAAAATTGTGTCAGTTGACTCAATCAATTAACCCCAAAAGAATTAGGCTTAGTATGAAATGGACTCTGTTTAGTTTAAAATTAAACTAACCTTTCCCAGTCTAGTATATCATTCAGACTGTTTCCCAGAGTTTTGATTATCTGTTCTGACGTGAGAACAGGTCCAAGTCCAAAAACACTTTTGTGGAACTGGAGATAATTTGCCTCTCTGGTTATTTTGCTTCTCAATGTTCCCAGTTATCCTTTGGGTGGGGATTGAAAAAAAATGGGGTGAAACATAAGAGCAACAGGATTCAAAAGCTTTCCACCCGTAACTATGGGTTATTTGTGAAAAAAGTACCCAGTAGAGAAACATCAAAGAGCGTTTAAACACAGGTAGTCCCCAATTAATGACCGTAATTGAGACCTGGAACTCTCTTGCTAGTGTGGCTTTTCCAAAGCTAGAAGTCTTCCTTCTTAACAACTCTTTGTCATTTTCTGAACCAAATGCTTAGAAGAACTCCTTTGAAAAGCTTTTCAAAGCCAAAAAGTAGAGCAGATAATTGACACAGGTTGGTGTAGCTCCCTTTTTAACTTTTTATAATGTTGTAGAAGTAGTCCTCCATTTACAACCACAACTGAGTCCAAAATGTCCGTGGCCAGGCGAGACAATTGTTAAGTGAGCTTTGCCCCATTTTACGACTTTTGTCACCCCCATTCTTAAGTGAATCCCTGCAGTTGTGAAGTTAGTCACATGGTTGTTAAGGGAATCTGGCTTCCCCATTGACTTGGCTTGTCAGAAGGTGGCAAAAAGGTGACCATATGACCACCATAAGTACAAAACCGTTGCCAAGTGCTCAGATTTTGAACACTGGCCATGGGGATGTTGCAGGGGTCATAGGTGTTAAAAAATTCTCATAGGTCACATTTTTCAGTGCCTTCGTAACTTCGGTCACTAAATGGATGGTTGTAAGTTGAGGGTTACCTGTATCCTGCGGGAAATGGCGATAGATGCTGCAACCCAGGTGAGAAACAGCGAGAGCTTAAGTTTTTAAGAAGAGACTGGACAGCCGTTTGTCCGAAATGGTATAGGGTTTCCTGCCTGAGCAGAGGGTTGGACTAAATGACCTCCAAGGTCCCTTCCAACATTATTATTATTATTATGGATCATCGCACAGTCAGCCAGATGTTCAGACTGGATTTGGCATTTTGTCTACCTATCGAGTCCTTACAATATTACAGATATTGTCACAGGATGGAAGCAGTTCCTAGTAAGGCCGCCTTTTGCAATTGACTAATAGCGAATTTGTCAATGCCAATGGTGTTCAAGTGGTTCTCCAGTTGTTTTGGGATTGAGCTCAAGGAGCTTATTACTATTGGTATTACCCTTGCTTGCTTTTGCCATAGTCTTTCTATTTCTATTTGTAGATCTTTGTATTTTGTTATCTTCTCCAGTTCTTTCTCATCTATTCTGCTGTCTCCAGGCACTGCCACGTTCACTATCCAGACATTTTTGTCTTTCTTATCGACAATTGTTAAGTCTGGGGTGTTATGTTGCAGCTGTTTGTCTGTTTGAATTCTGAAGTCCCAGAGCAGTTTAATGTTATCATTTTCTATGACTTTCTCTATTTTATAATCCCACCAGTTTTTGCTTACAGGCAAATGATATTTTTTGCAGATCTTCCAATGCACCATTGTTGCTACTTTGTCATGCCGCTGCTTGTAGTCAGTCTGTGCAATCTTCTTCTTCTTATTATTATTAATATTATTAAAATGATATTATTATTATTATTATTATTATTATTATTATTATTATTATTATTCTCACTGTCCAATAGGGGGAGCTGCTGTCTTCATAAACCCCAAGGCTGATGCTAGGCTTACAAGACAGAGAAGGCTGGTCATGTAGGCATTTGACACAACTGAGGCTTGATCATTTTTATGCCTTGAAAATCAGAGAAGGACAAGAACGGATGCTACTCTGACTTTATTGTCATTGAAAGCTCCCCAAACCCAGCAGACAGAAAATAAACAGTCACTACACCCACCACCACCCCTATTTTTTGATGCATTTCACCAGGTGAGTTCTTGCTTCTAATTCGGAGGAGAGGAGGACTTTGTCTAGCAGCTCGGTCTTCCTTCCCACGTTGGCAACACCTGGAAGAGCAGAAGGATCAGGTGACTGAGGTCACAGCCAATAAAAGGGGGCAAATTTAGTCCAGGCCTGGCTCAGGATTCCAAAAGAGCTGAAGGCCCTTTTTCATGAGCCCACAATTCCTCAGCTAGTTTACTTATTTTCTAAAGATTCTGTTTGCAGTTTGAAACATTTTGGCGCCACGAAAGCATGGGGCAAGCTCAGCCCACAAGTGGCCCCTGACTCTATTTCTGGGAAACCCCCAAATATCCACCTCAGACATCAAAGGAATTCGGTGGCTGGGCTCACCATAGAAATGTTCTTCTCCATTCATAAAGTTTTGGTGCTATATGAGTGTCAAGGTTCAGTGGGATTTTGGCAGGAGGGAGCAATGGAGAGGGGTGGATTGTAAGAAGGGTCAGATGAAAGAATATACATGCAGATGAGGTCCAGAAGATGGGCCATATGTGGCGATAGGATTCCGGTGTGGGTGTGATGAATATGACAGCGAGGAAGATGAATTCTGAGAGAAACATTTATTCTTAAATAGTGCTTTTTTTGCAAAAAAAAAAAAAAAAAAAGGTGCCGAAACTCACTCATGTCAAAGAACCCGCCTTGCCTACTCTACAAGGTTCCATCCAAAAAAGGTGGCTGAAACTTCATTCTGGGCATTCTATGACAAAAAAAGTCCTGCTCTTAAACAACTTTTTCTTTAACAACTTTTTTCTTCTGCTCACTAAGAGATTTGCAGCACAAGCTTGCTACTTGATAACATTGCGAGGGGGGCTGCGTGTGTGTGTGTGTGTGTGGGGGGGGGAGGCTGCAGGGACAATGAAGCAAGAAACTTCCTGACAGTTAGAACAATTAATCAGTGGAACAACCTGCCTCCAGAAGTTGAGAATGCTCCAACACTGGAAGTTTTAAAGAAGAGACTGGACAGCCATTTGTCTGAAATGGTATAGGGTTTTCTGCCTGAGCAGGGCGACTGCAATTCAGACTTGACCTTCAGTGAGAAAACCAGACGTTGCTTGCACATGAATGTTTGGAAACAGATATTGCATTAGAAAACTTACCCAAAGCGCTTACTCTTGGGAATCAGGCTGTTGCATTTCTTGACCCTAGAAAAATACAGGCATTAGTCCATCCTGAGACTTGCCTATGATCAGACAAACCTGGCTTTCCATAACTACGTAATAGCAGTTCAGTCATGCCTGCTAGACAAGCTTAGAATTACAATGCCCGCAAAGAAGCATAATGTCAAACAGGGGGAGGGGAATGCAATAAACTGTACCAGCAGCTTGCTGTCCAACTGGGTTTGCTCAACATATTTAACCTGGTCAGTTAGTGGCTGCATTTAAAGCATAGGCTACATTTGGGAGTTTGTTTTAAACATTGGTTCTGGGGTTTTGTGGCACAGCAGAGGATCAAAGCTAGAAGATACCGGAATGATAGATAAATGGATAATTTTTGGACTTAACCCCTTTTCTTACCTGAGCGTCATTTCCTTTCCCTTTTTTTCCTTTCCCTCTCCCCTTTCCTTTTCCTCTTCCTTTCCCCTTTCCTCTTCCTTTCCCCTTTCCTTTTCCTCTTCCTGCTTCCTGCTCGTTTTGTCCTTGTCCCATTTCCTCATCCTAAAAAACAAACAGGCAAGAGTATGCATTTGCAATGAGATTTGCACTTGTTTGAAATAAAAAGGCAATCTTTTTTTCTCAGGCAAAAAGCCACATCTGGCCTTGCACGCATGCACCAAGGAATACATCTGAAAGCGAAATGGGTAGTTGGACCAAGGCAACAAAGCAGAACTGTTGTGTCCTGAACCTGCTGAAGCATTCAGCAGGCTTAGAAATGTTGCAAATGGTCCCGGGCAGACCAAAAGCTGCCTGGGACCAGACTGGCTGTCTCCAGCCTTGCCCGCATGCGCAGGGCGCAAAAACAGCCAGATTTTCATTGGCTGATACTGTCCGGGTCTAGGACACTATAAAAGGCCTGCGTGCCATTTTGCTGCTGCTGGTTGTAAGAAGAGAACAATAAAAGAAGCTTGTTTGTTACACCATGCATTGCCTCTTAGTGTCTCTAACCTGCAAACACAACAAGAACCATTTTATTTACATGTATACCGTAGGTGATTAAAAATAAATAGAATCAATGTCATTGCTCTCCAATCAGGGGGTTTGACCACTTCCTCCTCTATAGTAAAAATTACCAAATAAAGCAAGTAATTCTGGAGAGCTCTGGGATCGCCAAGACTCTTTGGGGGAAGGATTGGGATCTAATTAAGCACTTCTGTTTTAGAATCATGTGAACCTTTTTCAAATTAATGTCTGTGGATATTCTCAATCCTCAAGGTCACGGTGGTTCCAAAAGTGTTATTTTTCAAAAGGCAAATGGACTTTCTTAGTTTTTTTTTTTTCCTCCTCGAAATCATTTTGCCTTTCATCTAAGAACTGAAGATCCAGGAAAGTCCAGTTTCCTTTTGAAAAAGCACTTCTGGGACTTCTCCAACTTATCATTTTTCAGTTGTGGTAAACTACATCACCTGGTTCAGTCCACAGTGAACTCAGCATACTGGTAGATAAGCAGACTGGGAATGGCTGGTTTTCACTATCTAATGATTCTAAATCAGCCATGACAGATGGAATTTTGGAGACTTGTATTCCCAGTCTGGTTGGAAAGCATCAAGTAGGAGAAGGATGGCTT